CCACATGTAAGTGAAACCATCCAGTACTTGTCTTTCTCTGCTGGACTTTTCACTTAGCATGATATCCTCGACATCCATCCATGTTTTCGCAAATGGCAAGATTTCATTCTTTTTTATTGCTGCATAATATTCCATTGTATCTATACACCACATCTTTGTTTATCCATTCATGTATTGATGGACATCTTGGTTGCTTCCATAGCTTGGCTGTTACTAGTAATGTTGCAATGACTAAAAGGGTGCATATATCTTTTCAAATGAGTGTTTTTGTTTTCTTTGGATAAACATCCAGAAGTGGAATTGCCGGGTCATATGGTATGTGTATTTTTAGTTTTTTTGAGGAATCCCCATACTGGAACTGAGGATTTGAGAGATGATGACAAGAGACTCGCATGAGGCACATAAGATGCGTCTGATAAACTGAACAAGAAAGGTGAAGGCTGAAACGTGCAGTTACGTCCAACAGGCAGCTACAAATTCAGAACTGGAACCGCCTCTAGAACTTCAGTGTTTTGAAGGTTCCAGAAAGAATAACCACAGAGCATTATATTCCTAGACAGTATATAATACATGAGGAGCAACATGGGCTTTGGGGACAGATGTGCACTGAAGTCACAGCTGCACATGAACTTGGGCAATTTCCTCAATCCCTTTAAGCCTTGGTTTACTATATAGCTCATACTTGTAAAGCATGTGGCTGGTACTAGACATAAAGCTCAACAAATTGTGGCAATTATTATGATCGTTAATATCATCCTTGGATGACTGTGTCATCTTCCCAAATCTTTTCTCTTCTCCACGCTGACTCTGACTGTGCTTTTCCTAAATGCTCCTTGAGCAGGGTGGGTGGCTTGAGCCAGGGTCCTTGAGATCCTCTCAAAGGCAGTTGCCTCTGGGTCACTTTGCACTTGAGGCCATGGAGCCCCTAGGAAGGTGGGTGGCCTAACACAGGGTGCCGACACATTAAGCCCCACGAAGGCAGCATCACCTTCGATATGCAGATGCGACAAAGCTTAAATGGTGATTTGCTCTTATAAGTTTTTTCCCCTTCAAAGTAGGCAAACAAAGTTTTTTGGAAAAAATTTTTGCCTTGGTGCCCCCAAGAAAGCACAGCCAAGTACAGAAATGTTGCCAGAGCCACACAGTAAACAGGTTCTTGTAAGACTTTAAAAACAGAAGAGATTACCCTTACACGAATGGTATTTGATGGGATATCATCTCTAAATTATACATATGAAATTTTCTTTGTTCTCCTAAGTTGATATCCTCTTGAATTTATATAAGTATATTAAATGCTAAGAGTAATACACACCGAAAGCTCATAAATGTTTTGGAAATTTCTGGAACAGTAAAAACAAACACACCTCATGCTTCTGTTCAAAACTCACATCACTCAGAATAAAACAAACCCAAATCCTTACTGAAGGCCTTTAATAACCTATGGGATCTGGTCCCCAGTCATCGGACCTCATCTCTTACTATTAGTAATACTAAAAGGCAGGGCAGCAACCTAGCAGTCTCTAGAGATAGATTACCTGAACTGCAGTCCCAGCTCCATAACTTGATGGTTACGTGCATTGGGGGGGTGGGGGTGGGGTGGTTACTTAACCTTCCTGTGCTTTGGTTTCCTCATCTCCAAAAGAGAAAAGCAGTATTCACTTCACATAGTGGATTAGATAATATTTTTTAAGTACTTAGAATAGGGCTACTAGTAAGGACTATTTCAGTGTTTGTTAAATAAACAAAACACGTCCCTTCATTCATTGCACTCTAGCCGCACTGGCCTCCTTGCTGTGCCTCCTGCAGGCCAAGCACAGTCCTGCCCATGGGTCTTTGTATTTCTTGTTCTCCCACTTGGCCATGTGGCCAATTTCCTCACATCCTTCACGTCTTTGCTCAAATATCACCTTTGAAATGATGACAACCCTATTTAAAACTGCAGTCTCCTCCTCTACACCTCTGCTTCGTTTATTTTTCTCATTAGCACCTACCTACTTCTAATAGTCTATATAATTTGCAAATTTATGTGTTTTTCATCTGTCTCCCCCTAACTGGATGGTAAACAAGGGCAGGAGTATTTGTTTTATTCTTTGATGTACCCCAAATGCCTGGAAAATTGCATAGGACACTGAAGGTGTTCCATACTATCTGTGGAATGAATGAATGCACTTTTTATTTTTCAGGTGAACAAGTTGAACCTATTTTGAAGATTGATTTGTAAATGAGCTTCCTCACTTATATGTAAAGTGCAAAAGAGCTCCCTAAAAGTTTCTTTCTGAAGTTGAATAGATAAGATCTCCTTCCCACACTATGGTTTAAGAAATTCATTACCAAACTGTTTTTTTTTTTCAAAGATATTTAAAGACAAACTTTAGCTGAAACTTAGGTCAAGCTATCTTTAATTCCTAATGAGCATGTTCCTAATTAATGAGCTTGATCAACTCCTGATGAATTGGTGGACTCTGTGGCACTGTCATTTATCCAATGTCACCTAGAAGTCATGGCCTGTCATCAGGACACGGAAAGGAGAGAACTATTATGATAAACACCTACTCTAGGTTAGGTAAGCTGCTGTGCTCAAATCTGTGAAGCAAATATCATCATCTCCATAGTACAGATAAACAAACCAAAGTCTACAGAGGCTCCAGGTCACACACCTAATAGGAGATAGAGCCAAGATTGAAACCATCCGTTTGTAAAATCTATGCCCTTTGCAGTATCTCACTTTAAGCCTCAGATTTCTCATTTGTAATATATAGGAACATTACGTGGACACAGTGATTATGACAATTAAAACAACATATATAAAGCAGAATACTCAGTAAATGACAGCTTTTTTTGTGTGTGGCCATACTTTAGGCATGATGGTGACACTTTTTCCATGNCTCCACAGCTAAGATGCTGAACAACAGCTCAACCTGGAGCTGGGCTGCTGTGAGTCGCCGGCGACGGCGTAGGCTGAAGACCCTGTGGCAGTGGGCTGCCATGGGCTACCGTGTGTAGCCAGCAGCCAGCGTGAGCGGCCAGCAGCCGCAGTGAGCGGCTGTCCAGAAGCCGGCGACTGATCTGCCTCGCCTGGGAAGAGCGCAACGATGGTGCCAACTTGGGCCAGTGAAGCCCAAGGTCCTCCACAACTAGACTGAGGAACAAAAGGACAGCAACTTGTCTGTTCCCCTTCCCCCAATTCCTCAATAAAAATCTTTAAAAAAAAAAAAGACATAAACGTAGTGAGTAAATGATAGCCCGTTACAGCAATGTAAAGGGAAGCACAGAATTGACAAATGGACATTACAGATCATAACAGCTCTAGCCAAGTTTAGGGGATGGAGAGACCATTCAAAGTTGGAGAGGTCAGGAAAAAGTAGAGTAGAAAGGATTTGAACGTTCACTCTGTCCCTCCAGTATTCCTTCTTCCTTGCTTTCCTCCTTTAGTTTTCTTGCTTCTTTTTCTCCCATCTCTCTCTCGTCCTAACCCCTTTGAAAACATTAATGCAACATAACCATGGTTAGTTATCATCATCTCTCAAACCTGGCTGATCGTGAGAATCTCTTGACAAGCTTATTAAAAATATAGATTCCAGGGTTTCGCCTCAGAATGATTGCATCTTATTCTCAGTCGGTGGGGCATGGATGGCTGCATTACGTGTCGTATCAGGTAATTCTGATTTTCAGCCATGTTTGGGAATCTCTGGGTATGACTGTAATCATGGTATCCAAATGTGCACCAGTCCCTAGCTGCATTCCATGGCACCTCTGATTCTATCAAGGATCTGGACAAATCCAGGAGGTCTCAAGCACACCTGAGAAAGAGAGTGTGCGTGCATCTGTGTAACAACTCCTCCACGAATGAAAAACATTCCAAAGTGCATACATTACTAAGAGGGCTCAATAGTGACATCTGTGTTTATGGGGATAGCTTATCCCCATAAACAAACTTTTATTTTCAGCACTTGAGAATCCTAAAAATCTCAAAAGACCCTTCTGCTATGGGAGACCCTCAGAGTCACTGTTAGGATATACAATATCGACTGTCCAGATTTCACAAATTACAACAGCTTGCTATATTTCCTTAAGATTTAAAAATAAATAAATAAAACATGTTAGTTACAATGGTAGGCCCTTCCATCCCATCTCTACCCAGACATAACCAATCTCTTAAAGATAGTGGGAATCCTTCTTACATGTTTTTATATTTTTACTACACCATATATATGTGTTTTGGTTGTTTAAACATGGATATCAGTAGTGTACATATTTTTCTGAAATCTGTGTTTCTTTCAATGTCATGTTCTTGAGATTTATCCATGTGGTACTTGCAGGGCTAGTCCCTTCTTTATAAAATAGGGATATCATATATTACATATATACCTATTACATATAGCACTGCAATAATAGTCCCATCATATAAATTTCCTAGATTATATTCTGTGGGGTTGATATTTATGCTCGTTTCTTACTATTTCAAATCATGACATAACGAAAGTACTTGTACATACCTCGTTGGACACACATGAGAGTTCTTCTAGACTATATCTAGAATGGAAATTTCTAGGGAATAGAATCTGCACATTCTCAACCTTACCTAATTGTTCTCTAGGTTACTCTCCACAGTAGCTGAACTAATTTTTACTCTCATCAACAATATATGAGAATTTCTCTTTCCAGCATTCTAACCAACACTGTTGAGTTTTATAAAAATACATACACGTCTGGGCCCTATTTTCAGATTCTCGCCGGGCAGCTCCAGCGTGTGGTTTGACACAGGCCACAGGTGATGTGAAACACGAATGTGACTGAAAGCCTCTGCCCCATGTATGTATTAATACGTATACACGTGCTAATATATGGATGCGTGAATTGGCACAGTGAGAGTGCTTGGTAACTTTGTTGGTGACATCTGTGTTGGCGGCATTCAGGTCCTGGAGGAAAGGGTAGAGAAGTACCATGGTCCAACATACCTTGCAGATGTATTTCGAATCAAACAGAGGTATGTGACTTACCAGTCCACTGGGTGTTACTTATGTGAAGTCTCCCCTTTGCCAGCTAGGCTGATGGGTGCCGGCGGGTCGCTTTCTAAAAGCTGTCTTGCCTCTCACTAGGTGTACGACGTGGTGTCATTTGTCAGGGCTTGCTGATGTGCCATCGCACAGGGTAGGGTGCATGTCGGCCGTGTCAGCCAGGCCGCTGGGTGGTGTCACTTCATGGAGCATTTGTGGCTTTTTCAAAGCCCTGAGGAATCTGAGAAGCAAGTGAGGGAATGATGCATGAAGACAAAAGGCAGTGGAAAGAGTGACCAGCCAGCAGGCTCCGGCAGGCTAGAACTCTCTGTCCTTGTTATTGCTGCTTTGTGAAAATGCCGCCGGCTTCCTGGCAAGGTCTGGAAGGTAGAGGCTTCTTGACAAAACAAGGACAAGCGAAGTGTATTTTGAGGCTGGAATCTGGTTTCCCAGCTTCTCCGTTTTCCAGTGGAAGGTACAGGGTGAGGATGGGGGCACCCTGTGCCCCTTGGTAGGTTGAGGTCAGTCTTTCCCTCTCTCTTGGCTGCTTTCCCAAGAGTTTTCTCCTCCCATAGCTCTGGTCTCAAAGGCCTAGAAGGGCTGACTGGGGGGAGAAGTTGGGCGGTGCCCGGGACAGAGCTGCTCCCCAAGGAATGATCTGAAGGTCAGCGTAGGGGAGGAAAACGGGCTTCAGCCATTATTCCCATTCAAGGGAGCTTTGCCACAAAGTGCCTCCTGGTTTGGGGCAGTGAGACCAAGGGGTGCTCTCATTCCTCGCCTGCTTTCCTCCGAGCTATTTGTGCTCCGGTGCCACACACGTTCATAGCACAGCCCACTTCAGCTTTCAAAATTGAGGTTGAAACTCGGGACAGGTAAGTGGGTTTATTAACTCCTCACTGCATGGTTATTTGGGCTTGTCATTGTTGGGCTTTTAAGAGGTCATCCTCCACTTTTTCCACCAGATAATCTCCTTTCTTTGATGCAAATCTAGATGCAAAGTAGGGAAGCAGTCAGCATTCCCCTTCTCTCTCACTATCCACCAGCGATGAGGATAATGAATAAAAATAGGGCTGGATACAATAGGGCTGAGCTGAGGGTGTGGTTTGCTTGGCAACAGCTCAGGAAAAGTTATTTCTCTTGGTTCCCAATGCTCTTGACTTCGCCTCTGCCTGATGAAGTCCTAAAAGAAAAAAAAAAAGAAAACCCAGCTTGAATGTGACTTTTTTGGGTGAAACTCCCATCCATAGAGTTAATCAATCCCTTCTTTCTGGTCCCATAGCATTTTGTTCTTATAAAAAGCATTCATCATATTGTGTGACAATTACTTGGGATCATGCCTTATTCTCTCTCTCTCTCTCTCTCTCTCTCTCTCTCTCTCTCTCTCTCTCTCTGTGTTTCCAGTATTTATGTACTGTACTTTAACATAATCATCCTTCGATACATATTTATTGGATGCATCAAAGTTCCTGAGACAGCACCAATATTCAGTTCTTCTATTTTCTTAATTATCCCCAGTCTTTTCCTTGGGGTGAACCACAAGCAGTTTCAACTCCACAGGAAATGGAGGACATGGTAAAACGAAACGTAATTTTTTTTCTAAGGAACTGCTCCAGCAGGAGTGGGCGTTTTTTCCAGATATATCCTTTTGTTACAGGTACAGAAATTGTTTCTGGTAAACACTGCCATGATTATCTCTGAAAGGCATGTCTGTGGAAATTGTTATTTTCCATTTACAGATGGACAGATGGAAGCTTTCTTTCTCATTTACCAATTTACAGACTATCCACTCTGCTCAAAGGACTGTGCTAGGATTTTCATGGGCTACAAAGATGTACAAGACATGGTTCTTGTTCTCAAAAGGAGTGCTATCATCTGGTTAGGATGAAAAGGTATTCGTATGCAAAAGTGTCTACAACGTGGGAACATTTAAGTTGAATTGCATGACTGGTCCAAAAAGAAGCACCAAAGGGAATGTAGAAGAGAAGCAAAAGAATTTCCAGCCAAGGTGATTGGGGACACAGCATCGTGGTCAGCATGGCATTTGAGAGGAGCACATTTCGCGCTGATAATTCTCTGTTTGGCCCCTGTGTTTGTTTCCCGTGACAGCCTTAATAAATGGCCACAAACTGGGTGGCTTCAAACAACAGAATTTTTACTTTCTCACAGTTCTGGAGTCCAGAAGTTCAAAAGCAAGGCTCTGGCAGGGCCGCGCTCCCTCCGAAGGCTGTAGGGGGGAGTCTGTTCCTCGCCTTTCCCAGCTTCTGATGGCTCCAGGCTTTTCTTGGCTTGTGGTCACTTCACTCCAATTTCTGATTCTGTGGTCACGTTTGCCTCCTGTTCTTCGTTTTCAAAACTCCCCTTCCTTTTCGTGTATTAGGATACAAGTGAGTGCACTTAGGGCCCACCAAAATACACTAGGATCAGCTCTTCTACTCAGGATCCTGAACTTAATCACATCGTTTGCCAGGTACAGTAATATTATCAGGTCCCAGGTATTAGAGCATGGACATAATTGCTTTGGAGGGGCCACTAGTCAGCCCATGACAGCCCCTTATCCTTCTCTGCTCTGCTCTGTGCCCCATGAAGCTGTGACCCACAGATGACATCACTCTACTGCCCTCTGGCTTACTGTTGGGTTTGGCCAGTGGGAAGCACCAGAAAGTATGAGAGGAGGAAAACGGGGTTGATATACTTCTTTCTTCCCCGCGTTTTAGCACCATCATGGTTCTGGCAGCAGCTATGCCCCTTCACGGTCCATAGCTCTTTCTAGACCCCCATCACACAAGTTCCTTCCCTTGGCTCT